TCTCACTTTGATATGTCAGGTGTAATGTTTTATAAATCATGTATGTAGTATTACATACTTATATTTATCAACATTAGATTATTCACAATTTAAAAAATTATTATTTATTACATTTTAAAAATTAGAAACAATCCCAGCTCCCTCTCCCTCCCCTCCTCCCACACCTCTGTACCACCCAGCCCCTCCAGCCTCCCACCCTATCCCCACTCCCTTCCCCATAGGGGATCTCCAGAGCCTGTCATTTCGTTCAGGGGTTCAGGGCAGGGTCTAGGTCCTCCCCCAAGAGTCCAGGCTGAGAGAGCATCCCTCTTTGTGGATTATTCACAATTTTAGAATTGATGTTCTGTGATTTTTAGTCATTATTCCCATAAAACTTGTCTTTAAGTTTCATCTTTCGGTGATGACTTCTTGTTTACTACAGGTTATAGCTTTTGAAACTACTTATTTTTTCCTTTTATTGAAAAGAGTCTACTTTCTCACACAGCATATCCATCCCAATTATGACCCCCCCCCCGGCACTCACTTCCATTCCTCCCCGTCTCCCCTGATGATCAAATCTGCTCCCTTTGTGTCTCTCAGGAGAAAATAGCAGTCTTCTAAGGGATAATAACAAGGCATAACAAAATAAAATATAAAGATAAAACAAGAACTATCACATAGAATTGGACAAGATAAACCAACAGAAGGAAACGAGCCCAAGAGAGGGCACAAGAGTCAGATACCCACTCATTCACACACTCTCAAATCCCATGAAAACAATAAGCTGGGAGCCATAATTAATACACAGAGGACGTGTGGCAGAAACACCCAGGTTCTGGGATTGCTGTCTCAGTCTCTGTGAGTTCATATGTGCTTTGATCACATCGATCCAGAGGACTTTGTTTTCTTGATGTCCTCTATCCCTTCTAATTCTTATACTGTTTGTGCCTCCCAGGATTCCCTGAGCCCTTAAAGGGAGGATGTAGGATGACATCCAGTTAGAGCTTATTGTTCCAAGATCTATTGCTCTCTGTGAGTAACGTCTGCTGTGAGTCTTGGCATTTGTCCCCCAGTTGGAAGCATCTCTGACATTGGCTGAGATAGGCACTGATCTATATGTATAGCAGAATGTCACTAGGAGTCCTTTTATCTTTCCTTATTTGTGTGCTTGCTAGACCAATAGTATTTGGTTTTACCCTAAGTCCCTGGGCTATCTAACCTCTGCCCCTCGATGACCCAAGCAGTGCTGTGTATGTATTCCATCTGGTGGAGTGGGCCTATTCAAGTGAGATATTGTTTGACTACTACCATAATCTATGTGCTACCATTACCCCATAGCGTATCCTTCAAGGAGGAACACCATTGTAGATCAGAAGGCTTGCGTCTGGCTTGGTGTTTGTGTTTCTCTCTTGCTAGCATGTAGAGTACCTCCCTGTTCCAAACAAAGACACTGGAAGATAGTGGTGAAGGATCTATGGAGGCACAAACTTGACTTCTATGTTTAATAAGTTGTGTGTTGTCTTCAGCCATGGGGTCGTACTGTCACTTTGTGGAAAGCCAGCGATCGCTTTGGCAACAGCCTGTGTTGTTTGGAAATTGCCATGGGACACCTCTAACCAAACATTTTGATGTAAGTCAGTCCCAGTACTAGAAGCTTCATTTGGTGAGAAGTGATGGCTTGTTAGAACTTAGTCTCCACCAGTATACAGCAACTTCAAGTGGCCTTTACATAAATTTAGAGATTGCTTTTAACAACAATAGAGAAGTTGCAACAAACCATGACAGTTTATTTCCTGTCTGCTTCACACATACCAGATATTATCTCATACTTCTTGGCAAATGATTTCTGTGATTGAAGATGAAATGTTACTTCTTGTCGAAATTTATTTAAAATCCTCGGTGGTATATATTTGTAAGAAAGTAAAGTCTAAGGAATATTGAAAAGAAAATATATAATTTTAAAGATGATACACGTTTATATGCCAAATTTTATATATAAAACCAAATTATTCGACGAATCAAAAGAAAAGGGAACAACTGAAGATGTAACAGGATGGATACAATCAATGCATCAAGACTTAGATTTCCTATCGTCAACCTCAAACATGTAAAAAAGATGACTCTTGGGAGAATTTTCAAGACCTCATGTGCAATAAACCAAGACAAAGTCAAAGTCTTTGTAAAAAAATAAAATTCATAAAACACTGTGACATGAATTTAAGAAAACAGAAACAATTGCCAATTTAGTAAGATAGATTGAATTTCATGTGAATTTCAGAAGAGTCAATATTAGTATATGTTGGGAGGTTCTGCTGGTCAGTTTTTGCAAGACATGGCAGCTCAGCAAAATGAAGGACCCCCTTCAGAGCAAGGCTTCCTGCTCTCTACCTGCCCTTACTTGGAGGATGTCTCTAGGTCTGGATGCTTGGCTTATCGCAAAGGTGACCGTGGACAGTTTCCTTCAGCTGCCCTTCCTCTGGTGCTCACATGGTAACTAGGCATATGCTCTAGCCATTATGATATGGCCACACCCCCACTAAGCCTGCTATATGATAGGAGCCTGCCACTTAAGGCAAGTTAGGGCTTGTCCCCAGACTTCCCAATCCTCTATATTTCCTATAATCTGGAATAAAGTTGACTTGTCTCACTGAAATCGGCTGTCAGAGGGCAATCACTATCATATCTACAATCATCTGAACCCTGTTCCCTGCTTCTTCTGCCTCCATCTTCATGGACTGGTAGGCAACAATCTCAAAAGGAAGGAGAACCCAACTTGTTTTATGGCATTTGCTAAGTTTATTCTACATTTTTATATTGGATAGTTAAATTCAAGCATCATTCCCAGCTAATAATTATGTACTAGTTAGAAGAATCCTCTCTTCCTCTAAAGATTGAAAATGTGTGTCATAAACAACATCATTATATCCTAAAATTAACAAATATATGCTTTTAAAATTTAGGACTTTTTCCCCCCAAAGGACCACTTAATTAGTAACTAGGGAAATGCAAGTGAACAAGGAATGTTCTGTAGGTTGTCATGTAAACCATAAAGCTACAGAAAATGTTATAAAAATACACAAGTGATCAATCCATCCAAATACGTACAGTGGAAGAGTTAATGCCCAAACTGAAGTGGTAATATCATCACATAAGCTAAATAACTACTGAGGTTACTTGCAAATGAAAACATCTGAGGAACACAAAAATGAAAATAAGTGTCCCTCCCCAAATTATACACGTAAGCTTATCCTTGTTATATACGTACAGAAAGTAAATGTCTGTTCACCTGCACTCACCTTTTGTGAACTAGCTATGATTTGAATGCAGTAAATTTGAAAATGGAGGCAGAATAGAAAATGGAATATTGATACAGTTTGGGAGGTGTAGGGTCGTAACACGGGAAGGGGATAAGCATACGGTTATTTATTGTAGAGGTTGTAGCCCACAGAAGTGGTGGTCTCATGGAACCTTCTGCTTTATTAGGAAGAATGATGGAAGGATGGAAAACAGGGAAGGGGGAGTGAGGGCCAGAAGGAAGACAAAAATGGAAGGCAAGAGAAAAGAAGAAAGAAAGGGTGGAAGAAAAAAGGAATGAATGAATGAATGAAGGATGGGAGGAAGTAAAGAAGAAAGGAAGGAAAGAAAGAAATGAAGAAATAAAGAAAGAAGGCCAAATGATACATATGATAAATGTATGCAATCAGCTTTACTCTAGTTCTGTTTATTTGAGTTGAATAGAAATGCAGACACCTGCATGTTTAGGGAGACAAAAAAATTTCAGTAGGTAGTTTCATTTGAAACTGAGATTTTCAGAGAAATGGAGAAAGTTCTTCACACTCAGTGAAAGAATATTTAATGTACTTTCATGCAGTAAGTCAAATGCTATGTTATGTAAATAGAACAGAGTCATGAGTAGCATGACCATGGCCTTTGCATTCATGAAAATATTTTTAAGTTCTTGGTGTCTCTTCAAATCTATTCGAGGACCAGAAACAAGGGGATGTACCTGTAATCCCTGCTACTCGGGGTTGAGAGAGTGAAGACCATTGAACACAGGCAACCAAGGGCAATATAGTGAGCCCCACCCACAAAGTTAAATACGTTACAGAATTTAAATATCATTTTCAAAGCGGGCTGGTGGTGGTGTAAGCTTTTAATACTAGAAGTTGGGAGGAAGAAGATGGCAGAATTTTGTTAGTTAGAGGCCAGCTTGGATTACTGAGAAAGTTCCAGAACAGCAAGGGATGCACAGAGAAACCTTGTTTTTAAATAAAAAAATCAGTTTCATTTCTAGTTAAGAATAGTGGTATATTGGTTACCCATAGCTAGTTCAAGGATATGTGTACTTCTTGGACAAAGGCAATCTTCCGCAACAGTCATATTACCATATATTTTGAATAAATACTGTATTATTTTATCTTTTTTAAAAAAATAGAAATTATTTCTTGTCAAGCCTAGTACAAGGGGAGGTGCTTATTCTTACTGCAGCTTGATATACCATGTTTTGTTGATACTTATGGGAGACCTGGCCTTTCCTAAACAGAAACAGAGGAAGAGTAGATTGTGGGATTGGGAACAGAGAGGGGATGGGAAGAGAGGATAGAGGGGAAACTTTGGCCAGGATCTAAAATAAATACATAAATTTATTTAAAAATACAGAAATTATTTTTTTCAAAATATTGCTGACTTTATGCCAAATTTGATACACTGTTTATTTTTAATAGGATAAAATTTAGGGAATATTTTCCATAAAATTGTAATTAGTAAATAATAACATTTGAATGCATTCTTATTTGGTGAAAGAGTATGTATTTTTTACTTTCAGGTAATTTGTATGCAAAAGTAGAAATACACAGTTAATTCTCATTTATATTTTATATACATTGATTTGTGCCTACTTTTTTACTTTTACTACATACAGGTGAGAAAAATGTTGTGTGTGTATGTGTGACTGTGTGTGTGACTGTGTGTGTGTGAGTGTGTATGAGTAAGTGTATCTGTGAATATGTGTATGTGTGTTTGTGTATGTGTGTGAATATGTGTGTAGGTGTGACTGTGTGTATGTGTGAGTGTGTGTGTATGTGTGTGTTTTTGTGTGTGTGAATATGTGTGCATGTGTGTAACATAATCACTAATAATCAATAATCATAATCAATAATCTCTCCATGGGACAATGTGCCAACAATATTCAACATATTAAGTCAGAGTTGATCTTGTATTTTCACAAGTCTGGAGAGCTGGTATGCCTCATGGGCTTTTAGAGTTTTGTACTGCACTGGTTAGAACGTAAACAACTTCAAAAAAAGATAGCATGCACTTTAGAAAACCAGTGTAGTCTCTATGCTTGCTAGAAGCTAATGGCAAAATAACTACTTCCAAAGGTCAACTCGGGGAAAATCATCACCTCAGAAGCCTTTATATATTCTTTGTGGCAAAACAGTTATTTGAGAGATTTTCAGGTTAGTTTGAAACATAGTTTTCTTCTTTCCTAGACAATGAACAGGAATCAAAACTATCTGATGCTTCTTTAGAGTCAGTCTTTCCAATGTAACCACAGTGTTTAACAGTGTTCAACTATCATGAATTTTGTTCTCTGGGCAGGTTTACCAGAAGAAGTAGATTTAAATCTTACATATTTAAACGTTATTAGAGGGGCTACTGCCTGACCTTTTATGTGATTTATAATGAGTCATGTTTCTTTTTCTTTTATTTACTTAGAGCTGTTTTTTCCTGAGGGTGGCTTTTTATGTCACAAATTATAGAATGTCTTTATCAACACAAAGCAAAAAGTCGATAGATGACTATCATACTGCTTTTGGTACATGTAGCAAAGAGAATTTTGGAAAATATACTGATTTATAACTCTGTTGCCTAGAAATATCAAAATAATAGCTGAGAAGTTTCTTTAGAGGGAGTTAAAACACAATGGACAGAGTTAGCAAAGGAAATTAAGATCCCCAGGGGGAAATGTTGTCTACCCTTTATTGGTTAATATTTATTCTTTACAATAGAAGACACTGAAAAGCAGCGATGAAGAAACAACTTTGCCTATGTGACAGCTGGATTTTGACACTGTAGTCAAATGCTTGAGAAAAGTAACTTAGTATAGGAAAGACTGATCTTCCATGTTCAATCCATGGGTCATTTGCTTAGTTTGTAGGTGGGAACATGATGCTTGCTCTTCTTGCATTAAGCAGGACATGGGGAAAAAAGGAAATTAGGGATCAAGGGCCATCCTCAACCTTAGAGGCATACACCAAGGAACCTACTGCTACCAGTCAGGCCCCAGTACCAATGAATATGTTCCCATTTAAATTGAAATTCCTTCATTTTTTAATTCATACTGCTTCTTCCCAAAATGGTGCCACCAGATGGGGACAAGTGTTGAATACATTACCTTCGGAAGTCTTTGTCTTATTCAAACCATAACAGCCTGCTTTGACTCTCTGCCCAGTGAGAGCTACCTAAGTGTAATGAGACTTAAAATGTATTGATATGAATATTGGCTGAATAAATGATTAAGTGGGATTTGCCTTGTAAGAGCATAATGCACAATCATATTAACTTGTGCTCATTTTACTAGAGTAATTCCTCAATATGACAGGGATTTATGTCCTCTATTTAAATATAAGATAAGTTTTTTTCAACTGAGACTGGTCTTTGTAGCCAAAAGAATATTCTCTGTTTTGGAAAAGATACACTTTAATACCACAAAATAGCTTCCCAACCAGGCATATATTCCTATAATATGCAGGTAGATTAATCAATGTTGGCAACGAGCCTAGAATGTGAAGATTAGTCCTTTGCAAGAAAGTTAGGAAGGTACTTTGGAAGAGGTACCTATGATAGATTCTTCATAATGTGGGTGATGTGACCTACACCCCAAGAGGCAGAAGCTCTGATGGGGCAGCAAAGGATTCCTATAGCCTGGTGATGGCAATGATCTTTGGCAATGCTTACAGCAGAGAAACTGGAGGTGTTCCTCTTTGAATTACCATATATGCTTGGGAAAACATGCCAGAGGCCAAACCACCACAAGAGACGAAATCCTGTTCTCCATTTCCTAAACATTCCATAGAGTATTGCAACCTCAGAGTGTTTGCATAACTGTATGAAGCAGGAAACACAACCCCCATTAGGTTAAGCACTTTTGGGTTACCACTCCAATATTTTAGAGTCGGGAAGTAATGGAAACATCATAATTTCTTAGTTTTAAACTTGTTATTGTTTGAGAATTTTATATGTGCATATAATACCTTTTGTTCATATTTATCCATTAAAACCTTTACAAGGGAACTGTGATTGACAAGAAAGCAAGCCTGTTTCTAATATTTATAAAAAAAACCCTTTACTATCCTGTGATCTCCTATGATCACTTTTCCCTCCCAACTATATGCCCTATTTTTTTATCCATGTGTTTACATAGTGCTGTCTTCATGTATGTAGATGTCCAGCCATCTAGTAGAGATTGGGGATCCTCTTCTCAGGGGCCAAATTACTGATGGACACCGACTTTCTCACTCCCAGATGTGATACATTTCTGAAACTTCTTAAATATAAACATTGCTTAGCCTAAGATTTTTTGCCATTATCTGAAGTCTGTGTGACATTCTGGCTAAAGAGCAAGGTTGTAAAGACTACATTTGAGCTGTCAGCATATGACAGAGGCATTCTGTGTGACAGCAGCTGAATCAGAGGCTTGATTGAAATTTTTATGAGTATTCACCAAGATGTACCCCAAAGTCTGTCTGAGCACACACACACACACACACACACATTAGTGTCTTTATTACTTCAAAATGTTGTGTATGTGTGTTTTCTCTCTGCAAAATGGATCATCTCAGTTCTTTTTATAACTCATGCGTATAAATGTGAAAGGCACTAGCATATGAGAATATCTAGTAAAAGACACAAAAGTCATTGCGATATTTACAAGGTTTTCTTTCATGAAATGTGAATGTTTCGTATGACTTTAACTCTATGAACATAAATTTGATACTTAAGATATATGCAAATGCATCTGTAACATACATTCTGTAATCATTTAGATTGAATAGGAAGCATATATAATTGCTTGGGAAATGCAGCATCCTTTTCTGATGTATATCACTAATCAAAAAAGAATTCGCTCAATCATTTTCTTAATCAGTTAGGTGTTGGTGTCTGAGTAGCTTTCCCATGCCCCTTTCCTTTCAGCTAAGTGGCTGTTTCACATCTTATAGGAAAGATTTTAAGAATTCATTTATCCACTGATAAACTGTTGAACACGGGATGAAAAGAGAAAAATCACGGAGACCGACTGGTTCTCTCCAAGCCTGTCCTTGGCGCTGACACTAACACCGGACTCTTCTCACTTGCCATCCTCATTGAGAGTAGATTGTAACTAAAACGCTGCAGGCAGAAGCAGTTTCTGAAGGGCACTGAAGCAAACGGTGAGGGAGATCTGAGCTGCGGGTACACCATGGTCAAGCCTGTCAGACAAACATAAGGAATCGGCTGCAGAACAGCCTCTGGGGTTTGCAGAGCCGCCCCTGGGGTTTGCAGAGCCACAGGGAGAGTATTAAGCTAATTTTCAGCACCTGGCTTTGGGGTAGGGAAGAGGCAACTTGACAAAGCTAAAGGCATGTGTGGTCTAGAAAAAGCCCTGTAAAACACGCCCAGAAAGTTTTGTGTTAAACACAGCAGGGATGGTCAAAGAGAGATGATGGGAGAGATGAGAAGAAAATAAATACCACTGTTTTGGCCTCTGACACAGCAGGCTGGATGATAGAACTTGTGTCCTGGCACAGTCCAGTATATATATGATTCTTTTCCCTGTCAGTTAGCCATATCAGAAACATAATACAATGTCTAGTTAGTGTGCTAGGGCAAGAACACTAGCTAAATCTATGAAACCCACTGCAGAATCAGCAGTGGGTAATACATGGGATTTCTAGGTAATACATGGGGATTTGCAAGGATGAACAGAGTTGAATTGATTAATTAATTATCAGCACTGGAAATTTAACTCTGAAGGCCTTGGGCTTTCATGGAAGTCCTACGACTGACCTGAATTTACAAACCCCTGAAATAATTCCTTCCCCCTCCTCTCACTTCTTCAATATACCCTCCATCCCACCATAGTTTCCCCTCTCCAGTCCTCCAGCTTCTCTCTACCTCCGTCTCCCTTCAGGAAACAGCAGGACTACAACAGACAACAATGAAACACAAGAAATAAAGTACAACAGGGCATAACGCCCTGAGACCAAAGCTGAACCAGGCAACTGAACAGGAGGAAAATAGTCCCCAGAACAGGCAAAAGAGCCAGAGAAACACCTAGTCCCACTGTTTGGAATCCCACAAAACTGCCAAGCTAACAGCCACAGCATATACGTAGAGGACCTGGTGCAGAGCCAGGCATACCTCTTGCTTGCCTCTTTAGTATCTGTAAGCCCCTACGTTTCCTGCTTAGTTAATTAAGTGGGACATGGTTTCCTTGAGTCCTCTATCCCTTGTGACTCCTACTATCATTCTGTCCTCTCTTTCACAGGGTCCCTCAATCTCCAAGGATTGTGACCCAATAGAGACCTCTAATTTAGACTCTCTACACAGTGCCTGGCTTGGATCTCTGCATCTGCTCCCATCTGCTGCCTCAGAAAGCCTGTCTGATGACAGCTGAACAAGGCACCAATCCATGAGTACAGTAGAATAACATTATGAGTCATTCGTTGATTTCTTTGCTTGTTTTTTTTTGTGTTGTTTTGTTTTGTTTTTAACACCAGTAGTGGTTTGTTGTGTCCAAGGTATCTGGACAATTCAGTCTCTCTTTCCTGGTCATTTAAGCAGTCCCAGACGTGGGCTACTTCTACAAGTTCTGTGTCACCATTATCCCAGCACATGCTGCAGGAATGACTGATTGTTGGTGAAAGTTTTTATGGTGGGATTGGTGTCCATGTTTCTCTGCCAATAGCCTGCATAGTACATTTCCTCACCACAGTCGGCAGAACACAGGGGCGAAGGCTCCTTGCAGGCACCAATTCTATATTTCTGCTTTCAATCAACTGTGTGGATGTTATCCTTAGCACCTGGGCCTGGCTGCTAGTTTTCAGGGAGAAACCCTCAGTCTTAGCACTATCCTAGATTATTTGGGGTCTTCACAGGACTCCCTAGGCCAACAACTACAAAAAAATATAACCTAGTCCCACCACTGGAAGCCTTGCCTGGTTACCAGAGATGGCCAGTTCAGACTCTGTATCCTCAATCACTAGGAGACCTCACTAGGGTCTCTCATATAATCTCAGAAGTTTCTACTGCATTAGGTTTTCATTTGAACTCTCTCCCTCCATTTCACCCCACCCTCCACTCACAACCCCTCACCTAATCCCTCCAGCAACAATGCCCACCTGTTCCCAGGATTTTACACACTCCACATTCAGTAGTGCATTAACATCCAAAACACATAAAGAATTCAAGTAAGGAGTTAAAAAAAACCAAAATAATCCAGTTAATAAATGGTGTAAAGATCTAAACAGAGAATTCTCAAGAGGAATCTCAAATGGCTGAGAAACAATTAAAGAAATGTTCAGCTTGCTTAGCCATTAGGGAAATGCAAAACAAAACTACTTTGAAATTCCATCTTACATCTGTCAAAATGGCTAAGATCAATAACACAAGTGACAGCTCATTCTGACTAGAATACGGATCAAGAGGAATCCTCCTTCATTGCTGGTGAGAGTACAAACTTACATAGCCACTTTTGAAGTCAGTGTGGCAGTCTCTCAGAAAATTGTGAATTGATCTACCTCAGGCCACAGCTATTCTACTCTTGGGCATATTCCCAAAGGATACTCTATACTACCATAGGACACTTGCTCAACTATGTTCATTGTGGCTTTTTTTCATAGTAGCCTAGATTGTTAACAACCTACATGTTCCTCAACAGAAGAATGGATAAGCAAAATTTATATTTATATAATAAGACATTTTTAAACTCAGTTATTAAAAATCATGAAATTTTCAGTCAAATCAAAGGAACTAGGAAAAAGAACCATCCTGAGTAAGGTAACCCTGATACAGAAAGAAAAATGTGGCATGCAGTCATATCACTTGGAAGTGGATATTAGCCATTAAGAAAATGACAGTCAAGCTACTGTTCATATACCAAGAGAGGTTGGCTTAAGAAAAGGACTCAAGGGAAAGGTTAACAGAATAGAATCTCCTTCTTTATGGCATTTGGAAACCACACAGAAATTAAACCAAGAATAAAGAAACTAGATGCCAGCAGTCAGAAAGATAAGTTTACAAATATAGTATCAACCCTCAAAAATTACCTCCAAGAGTAGGGGGTTTTCATATTCTCCTTTAATTTCAACACTTGGGGGACAGAGACATTCAGATCTTTGCAAGTTTGAGGCCAGTATGGTCAACATAGCAAATTCCTGGTCAAAGAGAGTGACATAAGTGAGATTCTATCTTAATCACTCATCAACCAATCAATAAATCAATAAAATATAAGTCATGTATGCTGGCTCACATCTCTAACTCCACATTTGCCAGTATTTGGGACAGGAGTGCTATTGCAAGTTTAAGACTCTTTTTAGCTACAGTAAATTCTAGGAAAGACATTGTTGTCTACTGGGCTTAAGTCTGACGAAGACAGTAATACCTGATACTATCCACAGGCCCAGAATTCCCATCTCCTGAGTCCTGAAACACTTGTCTTCATTGCCAAGACAAAGTCATTTTTTATCAAAACCACACTAATGCTGCATGCAGATAGTATTGCCTTTCAAACTGCTGACTTTTTCTTTTGGGGACAAATGTAACTTCTGACTGCAGTAAGAACACACTGCACTTTGTTTAGCTCAAGACTTCATGGAGGTTTCTAAGACACCAAAAAGGGAGGGTATCCATTATCCTGAGGCCCATCTGGTGCCCGATCTTGGTCCTAGCCTCTCACATCAAATTTCCCACAGAAATGCAGGTAATTTCTTTTAAAATGCTGACATTTCAAAGTGCCATCAACTGTTCACTCCAAAGGAGACATATACATATATATGTTGCAACATTATCGGAAAACCCATTTTCCCACGTACTCTCAGGATTTAGACAGATGGCTGCTTGTTTTTCCTCTCATCTTGTAATGTGCATGTCTGAAATGTCTGGGTGTTCTATAGCCAATGAGAATCCAGACAAGCGCCTTAGAGGGCTTGCTGTCACTTCAGCACTAGTTCTTTTAGAAACGTACTGTCACAACAGGGACCCACTCTTCCAGTTCTGTCTTCAGTGCGGAAAAATCTTTGAACAGTATCTTTTGTTACCTCCCTCAATGTCTAGATGCCCACGACTTCATGGGACCTCTGTCCGCTTGCAGAATCAATTTTAAGGTTTACTGACCTGCCAATAACTTGGTTCTTTGTGGTCCACTTCAGAACTACTTTGGAATGCAGTCATTGTGTCAGAAGAAAGGGGAGAGGGCACAGCTTGGCTCCCACTCCACGATTATCGTCTGGCTAGCTGCCTGATCATCTTTTGTCCTACCGCGGCCTTCATGTTAATTCCTGTGGACCCGCGAGAGGAGGCTAATGCAACTCTCAGCAGCAGGAATATGATGACTTTTGTGAAAGGCAGCCCTTTAGTATACAACTGTATTATCAGAGTCAACCAGTAAGCTGTGTTCAAGTTTCCTGTTTTCAGCTCTCCACAGATCAGCTCATTCTGTTCTGAGAGATTTTAGAATGCAGCCTGTACTCAAGTTGGACATCATCTAATACCCACATTAAGGCAGAATGTCTGGAAAATGTGTGGTTTTGGTGACTGCTTTTAAAAATCTGTTTTTTTTCCCACTTCCACTTGCCTATTTCAGCTCAGCAGACAGCAGGTGTTTGGATTCCCTGCTGCCACTTAGTCTTAGAACACATTCTGCACAGCTGTGTCTATTTTTTTTTCAGCAGGCCCTACTTCTAAGCATCAGCCAGTGCTTTTGTGGGTCAGCAACCAAATAACACAGTCATCTGTCACTTCCCCAACTCCTCCCAATTCAGGCTTCAATATGGAATCTCCCATACTGTCTTGGTTAAATGCACACATTTCTAGAAAATTGAGAGTTACAACTGATTCTATTCCATATTAGCCTACACATTAGACATCTGAATCTTCTCTTTCCAGCTACTTAATATCATGAATTTTAATAGAAGTGATACTAGAACTGTGCTTTTCCGATGGCTAATCAATGAGCAATCAGCAGAAAAATTCAGCACAAATATTGTAGCCTCATGTTGGAGAAAAAACAAGAAAGGAACTATAGTAAATGCAACATCTAGGAAAATAATTCATTGCACCCATAGGAAAACGTTACTTGTAATCAATGTATTCCCTTTGAACTGTATTAATCTCATGAGATTTCACCATCAATAGTCATCCTAAGGCAAGATTAGTGGATACAGGTTTATGTTATACTAAAAAAATGAGCAAGAGAAATATAGAAAAGGAAAGAGGAGTAAAATACCTGCAAAGAAGTAACGTTTCTAAAATTAATTATTAGGACAGAAAAGAAAGTCAAGAACAAAACAGTAAACCTGTACTAGCTAGGGTTTCAGATGTTTTCTTGTCTGTTGGAAAAATAATAAATTGGTATTGGGACAGCAGTTGCAAGGTTAGAATATCTGCAAAGAAAGTTTTCCATGTAAGTCGATTTACCTTGTATGACTGTGAAAAAGCTGGTATATTTGTGTAGCTATTCCAAGGTTCTGATATCTCAGTCTAAACATAGAGTACCATCTTCAAGTGCGATTAACGTATGCTTTCTACAAAATATAAAATGAAGCATTTATTCCTGACATGCCTGTTTCTCTTTCCATTCCGCCAAATAAGACCTTTCTATTCATTTAAGTAGAGCTAGAATAGTTAATGTGTCTCCTTAAGTTAATGTTACCAGAGTTCCACCTAAGTATTACATAAACAGAGATTTTGTCATTTGCTGTTTTTACTTTTCAATTTTTATGTTTATAACTTGCCTACAATTTTATGCTCTGGTGAGAATAACAGCAGACTTGGTATTTGAAAATTGCAGTTTCCCCACATTATTATTGTGAGCTCAGACCAGTGCCCACTCAATGCCCGTTTCTTCTTGTATAAAAGGAAGTTAATTACATTTATTCCCTTGCACCAGATTTTCTATATTTCTGTGTTAAAGGACAATGTCAGCATAACTGCTCCTGGTCCCAGACACCATTTGCTACTGAAGTTATTCAGATACGGCCGGTGTTCTTTCTGTGAAAGACATCCAAGGAAACACTGAGTTTAGTATAGTGGAAAACTGATAGTTGGGCCTATAGCATTGCACAGGTCTGTGCCCAGCAAAGATGTCAGATGTCTTAACATGTTCTCAGGCATGACTTTGAACCCTCTCATTTAACTAACAGTCACAAAGAATTTTAGTATTATACAGGTGTATGTGCCTCAAGGACATTTTCTCTTCAAACTGCCAGATGGTCAGACAGCAGAGGAATATCTATACTTGCAAAATGACGACACATTTATAAGCCTTCTATTTATTATGCAGGCAGGTGGCTTTAAAGGTTTTGATTTATTTATGGAAATGTTTACTTGGGGCCTGAATAGTCTGCATGTATATTTTATAATGTTGACAACATTTACCAGGTACTGTCATTCCATACAGAATAGAAAGTACAGCAATAATGTCAAAAGGTATGGTTTTCATCCTTCCAACTAGGGTTTCCAAGTGATTATTTCTTTTAATCAAAATCTGTGGTTGAAATTGTTAGATCAGTTTATATTTTTAAACAGGACATTTTAAGTCCAAAGACTCCTAATGGACACATCTTCAGATACAGAGCATTACTCCTATTGTTTTCTGAAGTTATTATAAGATCATTTTGAATAGTATGAAACAAAAGAATACCTTTGTCTCCCAGAAAAAGCACTGTAATTCTGGGCTAGATCCATTTCAGAGGCTCCCAAAGAGTTTGTGTCTGCAGAGGTCAAAGCAAACACAGCATCAGTTAAAGTAAACTTCCAAATGTAAAACATTATAGCCACAATTTGACCCATAGTAATTTATCTCGAGCTATTCCCCAGGAACAATGGTTTAGAGACTGTGAATTTGCAAAAATTAGTAAATTGATGTATATGTAGATGATAACTAGCTAGTTAGTTAGATAGGTATGGTTAGATAGGTGGAGAGAGAGCTTAATAATTAAGAACTCCTTCTGCCCATATAGAGGACCTGGATTTAATTCCTAGAGCTCACATGGTAACTTCCAACTGGCTGCATCTCCAGGGTACCTGGTACCATTTTCTGGCTTCTTTCGGCACCAGTCTTACACATGATACAGATACATGCATTCAGGCAATACACTCATATCATACACATAAAAATCAAAATAAATTAAATATATTCATATTGAGGTGGATGGATATGCAAACTGTCACAAGATTTCTTGTTATATTCAAGGCACATATAGCTAGAACTCAACCATATTCTTTACCAAAAAATTATCAAATATGTTTATTCTGTGTGATCTCGAGAATCATCTAAGAAACATACTTTAAATTTGAAAAATACAAACCTATGAAAATAAGAATTGTTAAAGGATACAATAGGAACACTGAATTATGTCATGATGTATATTTGATAATCTCCAAGAAAAGGGTATGTTATTTTGTAACTTAAAAAGAACTTATGATAACATGAATAGAGATGGTATGGTTGAATGTGGCTGGGAATAATTAGGAATTTTCTCTGAAGGAAATAAATTGGACCTTAAATAGAAAAGGTCATCTATCTCCCTCTAAAAGCCAAGTCAGCGTTTTCTTCTTGCACCCGAGTACCCTGGGCAGGGCCACTACAATGCTTTGTCCCACTTAATGCCTCTCCATCTGGCTCTGATATTTAAATATTAGTGTTGTACATTTTCTCTAGAAAGGAAATTTATTTATTTATTTATTTATTTTTGGTTTTGCGAGACAGGGTTTCTCTGTATTGTTTGGGAGCCTGTCCTGGAACTTGCTTTTCTAAACCAGGCTCGTCTTGAACTCACAGACATTCGCCTCCCGAGTGCTGGGATTAAAGGCATGTGCTACCAAAGCCCGGCGGAAATTTCTTAAAAGAATAGATAAATAAATTCAGCATAATTCCGTTACATAAAAGCAGTAGAGAGCATGTCACAGAACAAATATAAAGGTGAATTGAACAATGAAGCTTGAGCAATCTCAGAAGAGTTTCACTGCCTTTGACTAGTCTATGTTGTGCTTCTCCCAACCACCGCCCAACTCCTAGTGTGTATGTACAGACGTATTTGAGTGTTCATGGGATAAGTATAGAAGTTGGCATCAGATATATCCCTTTATCACTTTCTACCTTAGTTTTTGAGAGAAGCTCTCTCTCTCACTGAACCTACATCTCACCAGTTCGGCAAGACTGACTGCCAGCATGCATCACATATCCTCAATGTCTCTTCCTCCCCAACCCTGGGAGTACTGGTATGCATGCTAGGCTCTACATGTGGGCTTTGCAATCTAAGATGAGGTCCTCATACCTGAGCAGCAAACAGTTTTCTGACTCAGCCATTTCCCCAGCATGACTAGGTCATTTTTATAGGTCTAGGAGAAGTGCTCACTTAAAAACTAGGCTCATAAACAAACATTAATTCTTAAGCTAAAACCCTTACATTCTCAGCAGTAACTCATAATTGATGTTACCTGTGCTATAAGAAAGAACTGATTCCTCATGATTCATGCCTTTTATATTTAAAGTTGATGCTTCTTAGGATGCTGTTATGAATATGAATGAACATGGCTAAAGAGCCATGATGTAATTAGGAGTCTTTACAAGAAAACCTTGGCAAAGCTGTCTTTTCTTAATCGCTACTTACAGTACTGTCCCCTCAACTCCCGCTGTGCTTCTCAAATGACTCATTCCTTTTGAATTCTTCTGGAAAAATCTTTCTGAAGGTGTGGATGTAATGATTTCAGTAGACCAAAGATAAATGATAAACGGGTGTTTTATTGGGGAACAACTTACACAGAACACAGAACCCTTGTAGTGTTTCTCTGCCCTTGTGATCGAATCTATGACCCAAGAGAAAGACAGCTCAAGAGAGAGACTATGCACCTGAAGCCACGCCCAAAGGAGTGTGGTCACTTAGAGGTTCACAGGAAAGATACCACTATATCTCTATTAGTGTTACCTCCTGTCATTTAGGCAAGCATATCATTTTTTCAGTGTGTCTACAGAAAATTGTTTTCTGTTCACCTTTATTTATTTTAGTTTACGCATATAACTCCCAAAGAGAAAGCAGCTAACTGTCAGAGTACAGGAGATCCAACTAGTACTATCGTAATTCTGCTCTGAGTTAATCTCTCCCCATAGGAACAGCTCCATTGGTCATATTTTCAAATCTGTTAAGCCTACTTTATGCATTTTGAAGTACAATACACAAATTCTAAGTTTCATGCTTTCATTATTTAAATTGCATGTCATTCACATCTACTCATTCATTCAACAAATACAAAGTACATAGAAACAATGTAAACAGCCACCTACATTCTCTTATAAAATGTAAATGTCATTTCTGATAGACTTTAAAACAAATGGAATGAAATAGATATAATTAAACCCACGAGCAGAATACATATGTAAGTGATGTGTGGAAAACAAAACAATGCAGTTATCAGATAGAGCTACATTAGCTCTGCAAAGGTAAACTCCATATTACTGATTAATTAACTATTAATCCAGTGGCTGGCAGTGGTAGAGCCTCATTTGAATCAAGATTTCTAATTTCAAGTTTATATTTGTTTATACGTGACATTGGAAATTTCCTGTTACTTTTGTTTTTAGAAATTAAATTTGGTTTGTATTTTAATTTCATACTCACCACATCTTATTTCTAATTCTCAAAAGACTCTACTTTGTTACATGTTATTAATAAAGGCTTTGTGAATAATGCTATTTGATTTAGCAAGTAAACTGTAGCTCATCATAGAAACTAATAACCATCTGTCAATACATTTTATCATCTAATACAGTGATTCTCAGTCTTCCTAATACTTCAGCCCTTTAATACTGGTGATTCCCAGTCATAAAATCATTTTCACTGCTACTTCATGACTGCAATTCTGCTACTGTTATAAATCATAATGTAAATATCTGATATGCAGGATTATGATATGTAACCACTGTGAAAGCGTTGTTTGACACCCAAGGGGTCATGAAACCCAGGTCTGATCCAATGCAAGCCAGTGCCCACTCTATTATTCATTCTTTAGTCATTTCTGTCCTCAGACCTCGCAACAGGTCAACAAGATTGTAGTAACTTCTTCGTTGACACAAGGTCTTACTGTGTAGTTAAAGCTAATGTTTAAATCACAGCTATTTTCCTATTTTGGCCTCCTAAATACTAGATAATTGGTTTTCTTTTTATCATTTGAACCACACTTTTTGCTTCTGGTCTTTGGAATGGGTTATTTACTTCAAACAGAAAATCCTTTCTCCATTTGTCATACCCTTCCATGTGATTCCACAGGGATCTCTGCTTATTCAGGGACAACTCAATTAAAATCAGCTAACAAGTATTACTTAAAAGAATTAGTGCTTGGCAAACAGACTAATACACCTTTAGTTAAAACATTGTTGCTCTACATTCCACACTCATTTTTTTGTGTACTTCTTACTCTTTTTTGCTTAATTTTTTTTGTTTTGATTCTGAGAATTGAACCTAAAGCATTTTCCATGCTAAGCCAGTATTATTGAGCTATGATCCTAGTTCTCTGTTACTTTATAAATGACTCCAAAATACATCCAAAAGTGTCTGAAATAATGCCAAGGATTTGTATTGTGCTGCTTATATTAAAAGAATACACCAGATAAATGTGATGATGAGACAAAAAGTTTATAATACCCTACAATTTAACATCAAAATTTAGCAGGTATTAAGTAAATAGAAATGTAAATGTTATTTATATGGAAATCTAGTAAATTGATTTAGTTCTTTTTTTATAAAATATATCAGTACTTCATAAAATAAGGTCAGAAATAAATGGAGAGTCTTCATTTTATTTTTCTGTATACTATCCTTTTTCAGTGAAATTAATCCTGTATATTGACACACGGTTCTACGATCACTTCTTCCCTACTAGACATTGGTCAGTTTTCAGAGCAAGGAATACAGTGTTCTAAAACTCTCATAGTCTCTGTAATACAAACAAAATCTTTGCTTTCTTTAGCATCAGTAATCTTGCTTCTTTTCATATCATAATTTTACATCAACTTTTCAATGCTTTTATATGAAAATGCTTATTGATTCACTCCTATATTTTCCGTGATTACCATGCCACACTCTGTATCTGTTTCTTACGCAATTCTAACAGGAAATGGGAGGACAGAGTTGGGAAAGAGATGGAGGTGAAAAGATCACAAATTGCAGAGTATTTGATGGCTACAGAATCCTATGATCAGTCAAGTCAAGAGAAATTTAACTGTGGGATTAAAAATAAGGTAGGACAAATATATGCACTACACAAATTCCAGACAATCTACTTTGCTTAGAACTTTCTCCTACATTATCATTGCCACTCTGTTCTCATCTTCTTATTTTCTTTAAATCGTGTATCAAAATTCTGATTTGTGGGTGGAATCTTGAATGAGACTAGCATTACTATGCTTTCCTTCTTGACATGTATGTATTAATTTTATCTTGATGGTAGTCTTTAAACAGTAGGGATTATATTCAATCATTTTCATTGGAAATATCAATATATATAATGTTTCATCAACATAAGGCATTAGAAATATAGAAAATAGGATTGAGAATAACGATGCAAAACTATGCCTTATTTTTTGGATCCCAACTCAGAGTATAGATAAACTAAAGGAAGGGAATAAATAGCTCAAACAGGGTACACTCTTGATCACAAGTGTCATGTTTCTTTTAAGTGTTAATTATTGCTCATTTAACTCAAAAATAACCAG